AGAGGTTAAACATGATTGTATTCGTGCCTCCAGAGCAGAACTAAAATCAGGATCCTCTCTCAGACTTCCCACCTGTGAGCACTTGCAGCTGATGGAGAACTTGAGAGAGTCAGAAGTATCGATGCGAGCCCCAGATATCAAAGAATTTAAGTCCTGATTAATTCATTCATGAATCTCATTGATATCATGTGAAACTGAAGTGACACGCTGCCGTCTCTGTGTATCTGCTGCACGTATTGATTCGGGTATTCGCTCTTTACTGCGGCTCTTTATGTTTAATTCCGAGCCTCACCTTCATGCCGACTGCTGAGGCCGATCTTCGGAGAGTCACATACGAGGAGATGCTGGAAGACTGATTTACTCTAAGTGAGGATCCAGCCATTCCTGCAGGGAAGCCCACATAGATTAAACCACCGTTCTGCGAAACACTCCACATGAAGAGCACTTGAGCTAAAATAAATCTGTTGGCTCTGTCGTCCATGCACCTCTGCTCGGTAACGTCTGGTACCCTCCGTCGTGCCCAGATGCTACGATGCTGATGTGGCTGGAGCCGTCTCCTGCTCCCATGAGCTCCGGGTCGCTCAGGAAAGGCCTGAGTTCCACCTGAGAGACACGGAAACATCTCAGTAGAAGCAAACTGAAGGCCTCAGCAGCGTGAGCGCAGAACCACCCACGTTCTGCTCGTACCTTACTGTCTCCGTTTGTGTACTGGCCGATCTCTCGGTCCCTCTTGCGCTCGTCCGACTGCCGCTTGAGGCCGCGTACGGAGGTGTGTCGGATGACTGTCGTCTCCCGGGGCAACGGAGGCACAGCAGGGGGATGCTCGTCGGGACTGTAGAGCTGAGGTAGAGGAGGTCTGGGAGGCACGTCTTCCTCACTCTGCACACAGAACAACTGATAAAGACTTAGAAACGACAAACGAGCATCCGGCCTGCGTTGCTCTGACTGTGATGTTTCTAGAAGACCACAAAACCACGAGGGGAATACTGATGCTACGCGCTAAAGGTTCGCTGTGATCTCGAGCTGCTGCAGTTTCAGTGATAGCGCTGAATGTAAACATAACTTTTCTCTGTTTACAAGGAACTTCACATAAAACTGGAAAACTATTGCATTCCTCGAGGCTGAATGGTTCCACACATAACTGGGTATCAAACGTACATCATGCTGCTCTCTTTCCACTCGTTTCCTGTCTGACTTTATACTTTCTGCAAAGATGACAGAACACCAACAACAATAATCTTACAGGCCCAAAATGCTAAATACTTTTCTTTTCTTTCTGAGTTGTGGACTGAGAGACAGTAATGAGCAAATCTCACTATGTTCTGACATTTTAATAACTAAAAAATTATGTATTAATGGGAAAAAAAATAACACATTTATAATGAAAATAATGGACACTTGCAACCCTTTCTCTTTCAACCAATCACAGCTGCTCACACGGCTCGCTCATTCTGCAAAACCCAAAGAAACCAGGTGCGGTTAGCTTTGGGTGGCGGGGGTCGCTCACCCATTTAAGCCCACTGATGACGGTGGCAGAGTGGTGCAGCGGCTGCTGGCTGGGGCTGCAGGACAGCGTGGGGGTGTGGCTGCTGGGGCTGAGGTGGGGGCTGTGCTGCTGCTGCTGCTGGGATAATCTCATCTCCATAGCAGACGGGCTCCCAGACACAGAAGGCACTGATGACACCGACACCGAAGGCACAAATTTCCTCTCTGGGGAATTCAATATATGAACAAGCAGCATGAAGACACACACACTCGCTTTTCCTCTGGGACTGGTGTCTAGGATGTGACTAAGAGCTTTAATGGTAAGATACGGTGGTGTGGTTTATACTGCACATGGAACCTCCAGGTCTCACCTGGGTTGGTAACAGAGGAGATAGTGACTTTGTAGTTGGCTTTACTGGTGCTGAGGCCTGCGATCACGTCCTCAATCCTCCACAGCTCCTTTCTGATCTGGACTTTTTCCTGCTGCTCACAGAGAAACAAACATGTTGACACGTTTCCCAAACACACACTGGAAAACAAACGGAGGGTTCATTTGCAAAAACAGAAAACTCCATCTTGGGCTGCACAGTGGAGCAGTGGTTAGCACCGTGGCCTCACAGCAGGAAGGTCACCAGTTGGCGTCCCGGTGAGGACACCCGGGATCTTCCTGCGTGGAGTCTCCATGTTCTCCCCGTGCAGCGTGGGTTCTCTCCGGGTTCTCCGGCTTCCTCCCACAGTCCACAAACATGCTGAGGTTAATTGGTGATTGTAAATTGTCCGTAGGTGTGAATGTGAGTGTGCTTGGTTGTCTGTCTCTAAGTGTAGCCCTGTGATAGACTGGTTACCTGTCCAGGTGAACCTGCCTTCACCCTGAGTCAGCTGGGATAGTCTCCGCCCCCCACGTGATCCTAGTGAGGATTAAGGGGTGTAGATAGTGGATGGATGGATAACTCCATCTTCACAAACCTCCAGAAAACCCTCTTTTCCATCGTCTACCTGAGACATCAAACTTAAGTTCTCTCTGTTGTTGTGATTTCTACTGCGTTGAATCCTCTCAGCTTCAGTTTGATTTTATCTCAAGCAAACAACAAAAAAACAAGTTTTCTGAAAATCTACAAAAATGGAGTTTTCTGTTTTTGCAAATGAACTCTTCACATGCTTCACAGATTAACATCTTCTTCTGTTTTTAGCCGTAACAGAGATTTTAATGTGAATCTGATGCATGATCCTCTGAACTCAACCACAGATGATTTTCTATTCTCTGACTCATTTCCACCAACGTGAACGACAGCTGGTGAGATGACTGAGCTGCAGACCTGGGTGAGATCACTGCGGTTCATCTGTCCCTGCAGGGCCGACTTCAGCCAGTCCACATCCCTCTCCAGGCGGCTGTACTCGTTCCATGCGTTCTCCATCTCCTGAAGAACAAAACGTAAAACCCATGCATGTGATAATGAGTCAAGAAAAAAAGCCTCCACTCGCTGTACTTATCTCACGAACCAGCGCTACTTAAACGGATTCAAGGTTCCACCCACTTAAACAGAGATTCACAGTCGTGCTCCTGTGTGGTGAGCCGCTGTTCAGAGAAGTGCAGGTGTCTTGAGTTGTATTATGTTCTCTCACTTAAAAATAATCGTAGTCAAGCGATGCACACACTCAGATGTCCACTGAGAGCACTTGAACACGAGCTCGGAAATGTCTTCGGCGCCGAGAGCTAATGTTTACTTTCATGTAGTCGCTAAATGCGCTTTTGAAACTCGTCCTTTTCATTTGAACTCTTAAATATTTTAAATATCAGCGGAGATTCTGATCAAAACCTTTGCGCGAGCGGCAGCTTGAGTTTCTGTGCAGCCCCACGTTTGTCCCCTCGCACTCATCTGGGTAGTCACAGTCAACCTGAAACACGGCGCCAGTTGCAGAAACCATCAAAAGGGAACAACTAAAAACAGAAGTGATGTTGGCGACCAATAGAAACACAGCGCATGTGTTCAGCAGAGGCTCACCTGGCTAATTTGAATGAGCTATTTTGGGGGGAGAGCACGTCGCACAGCATCGTTTTAACAAAGCAGTCAAAGGAGCTGCACTTTTTAATGAATCCTCTGGTCTCACCGTAGACACTTGGGATATCTCCGCCCGGATGTGGACCACATCTTCTTGTAGTAATTTCTGCTGATAGGCAATTTTCTCAGCGTGAGCCGGCTGATCTCTGTACTCCTCCATCTGCTGGTGGGAAACATCCAGCACAGACTCCAGCTTGTCCTGTGTGGAGGCCGTGACATACGAACCCTATGAACTATAAGGGCTGACACACATACTGAGTACATTTTTAAAAAAAGAAGACATTTTGGACACAGTTTGTACGAAGCAAACACCTTGTCCTCCTTTAAAGTGCGTATCGTGGCCTCCAGCTCCTGCAGGATCTTGTCTTGTTCACACAGTCGACTTAATTTCACCTGCAGGAAAAAAAACAAAAACATATTGAGATAATAAAAGGCCGGAGAACAAAGGATAAGATCTACCTCTGCTCCTCCTTATCGCTCTCTGTTTACTTCTGATAACGGCGACAGAAAAGCAGGAAGGAGATGAAGAGTGTCCGGGATCAGATCCACAACACAGCTTCACACTTGTCTTCATTCAGCGACCGATTGATCGCAGTCTTTCTCTGTCTGTCAATAAGGCTCTTCTCTGTAAAAAGCCCCGAGGAATTCTTCTCATCAGCGCAGCGGGAGATATCAAAAGGCTCCATACTGTCTGGTTTGGGGGCAAGCTCTGGTAATACCCATTATGAGTAATCATAATCAAAAATCCATATTTTCACATTCGCTTTTTGGAGAAAGCCGTGTTTACTGAGAGTGACAGATTTGTTTTCCCAGAAATGGGTTATGTGTTTATGAAAACAACATAAGACTGCCTCGTTCACAGGCCTCCTCACACACTGGATCCTTTTTCTTTTTTTTTTTCTTCTCAGATCTATTTATCATTCTGTTCAATTAATAATTAAGCTGTTTTTATTTTCGCTGCCACATATTGTTGTTTTTAATTGCATGAAATATTCATTGTTCAGACAAATTTACTGGCGATTTCTTATAAATTGTTAAAGTGGAACAATGCTAATGATGAAAAGCCAGGACATCCATCTTATTTACCTCCATTCAGCAGAAAACAAAGAAGGAGAAGAGCCGGATCAGGCAAATCAAACTGAAAAATTTAACAGCTCAAACATCTAAAACTCCCATTACATGTATTTTTCCCTTTAAATTGCAGGGAGGAAAATAAAAGCTGTGGTCGATACTCTCAGGCCCTCACTGTGCAGCGTGGATGGGTGTCCCCACAGTGTTGCAGCGAACATACGTTCCCTCTGCAGCCTGTGTTTACCACAACTTAAGAACACACACACACAGGGAGAAACCACACTAAAACACACAGCAAAGTCAGACTAAAGTCAGCTGCTGCTCTGTAGTCGGAAACGGAGATCTTAAAGAAAAGAAGGCGATGATAAACACGGCGCTTATTTCTGTAAATCCTGAGAACGGTTCACTTACGTCGGCGTCGCTTTCTGCGATCTTCACAGGCCTCGATGGTCTTTCTTTTTTTAAACTCTCACGTCCAGTAACCTGAAATTCACCGTAGTCACAAATATAATGAGATGTTTAATATATATCTTCAGTTTAATACTTCCAGGTAACAGAAAACAGCAACTAGTTGAATTTTCAGCATCCAGTGAGACTGCTAGACAAGGCAAGCCGAATGAAATCATAAAGAAAAGGGAAAAAAGGAAAAACATGAGCTGGTGGAACAAAACTTTGTGCTGAAGCTGAGCAAAAACATTTATGCAGATCAGAGTTTCTGCATCTTTGTGTCTGGGGAAACCCTAAAACCCCAAAGCTGCTCTTTCCGGGCTGCTTATTACTGAAACAACCAGGTCCTTATTATAAACCAGGGAGGAACAGTTTTGCTTGAAAGCCTCATTTTGTCTTTTACAAACATACTGATTTGCGCTGGAAAGATTTACCTTAAAGATCGTTTAATGATTTGTACCTGAGTATCTGTTGCACTGTAAGCTATCGAGGCCTCTAATTTCATTCAGGTGTGGAAAGGTGGTGTGTACAGTCCAGATCGAGAGTGTTTTTGAGACCAGTTCTCGGTATCACATTGTGAAATAAAAGAACAGATACTACATTAAAGTCTCAGCTTTAGTTTGAGCAGGTTTACATCGATACTGAAAGTTGTGTGAGATATAGTGTCCAAATAAAGCCCAAAGTTCAGGGCTCATCAGGGTTTGGACGGATCTACATCCGACCCTTAATAATCCAGAACCGCGCTATCCGACAGGTTCGTAGGAAAAACGAACGGAGCCCATTAAAAACAGCCTTAACGTACCGACAGCCTTGGATTCTGACTCCAACATGACTGTTTATCATCAGAAGATCCTTTCTTGACTGTAAACTAGGAAACATGTCGACCAGGAGAACGTTGTGGATCGGCAGTGCAGTCGTACAGCAAATGATCCTGGTTTGCCCTTTTCTTTTTTCTTTTTTCTTTTTTCCAGCCATTCTGATCATTATTATCGTCTTCACTTGCACGGTGGCGTCTTCATTCCTCCGATAACTGTGCATCAAACTAAACTCTTAACTCTCAGTCAACTCCGAGTCCGAGACTGAGTGGTCAAACGTCCAATTACTTGTGAATCCTTTAATTTTAGCACCTTGTGTGATATTTACTACATCTCACACACAGTTCTCTCAATTCTGACATGACTCATCTCAAATTACTTAAATTAAAGCAGTATCCATTATTTTATTCCATGCTGGATGTGCTGAGGATGAAGAAAAAAACTGAAACTGTCCAAAATAATGACTTCTGTAATCTGGACTGTACATGTTGGTATAAAAAGCAGCAGCAGTGGTCACAGGCCGTGGTGAGAGACTGTAAAGGTGGGAATAGTTAAAATAAGCTGTCTTTTACTAGCCAGAGCTGGTACGGACACCATCAACTCCAAAATGGTTTGAAAGATTAGTTTCTACAAAAAGGCTGAATCTACAACCAGTGTAGCTCCTCTAAGACAAGACTCGTCTGTCCCTGGGTTGAAAGTATAACGTTTACTCCGATCACCTTATTATAGTTTAACATGTTAGAACGCACACATCTGTGTGCTCATCAACACTAAATACACAGTACAACTAAGGCTAACGGATTTCCTTTAGTTTAGCAGAAACTTCGTCAAAAAGTCAAAAAGTACAGTCATGACTCGATGATCCGACACTAAATGTAAAACCTTCTTCTATGTCAGATATCAAGGCTGTCGGATTGTCCAGACGGAGGTCCAGATACGAGGAGGGCTTGATGCTGGAAGGCTCATTAGTTGTTCATTATTGTTCATAGTTGTTATAATAACTAGTGTGTTGTTAGAACACTACGCATCGCTGGATTTCAGCCTAACTGACCGGTGCACTGGTGCACGTTCTGACCACTTCCACCCCGGGGCAGCGCTCTGACGGGGTGGAAGTGTCCAGAACACACAGGCAGTACTTGGCTGCTGATGCTAGTTTAGTTAGCGCTCACACTTCTGTTTCCTCCATCGGTGGCGGCGGGGGAGTGGCAGATACGCTCCACCGTTACCATCCATGTTTACTTCCATAAACACTGAGCACGCTCGCTGCGTGTGACGTCGTCGTGTCCTCTTCTGCGCATGCGGGACACTTTTGGCTCGTATGAAGTTCACACAGCAGATCACATACAAGTCGCATTGAACTGGAAACGTGAAGGAAGTCACAAAGAAATCCTCATTGAGCATCAAGTCCTGCAGTGTGAACGTAGCCAATCTGTGGGATTGTTCAGTCAGATAATACGCCGTCATCCTGATTGGTGACATTAAATGTCATGTCGGAGTCACAATCCAAGGCTGTCGCTATGTTAAGGCTGTTTTTATGGGTTCTGTTGGTTTTTCCTAAAAACCTGTCAGATAGCAGGTTTAGGATTGTTAAGGGTCGATTATGGAGTCATGACTGTACTGGATAGATTAACATTTTGATCTGATGAGATTTGATCCCATTTTTTGTGAGGGTGGCACAAACAGGTAATCTGTCCGGTAGTTGTTGAGTTTTGCTGTTAGCTGGTTTATTCGATAATTGTGTTACTGTCCATGCTTTAAGCATTAAATCTCAACAAACAATACTTTTTTTTTTTCAACTAATCTGAGGACTTATTGACTTACTTTAACTGTACTTTGTGTTTTTTTTCCCTTATAATTTACAGCGATTCATTTCTCTGTAATCACTGTAGCGATGACGTATTCCTCTCTCAGTGTCAGTACAGTCGTATATATGGTTTATGACAACTGTCAGTCTTCAGGGTAACGGCCAGAGATTTATCAGCCATTTGTCTGTCACTGAAGTCAAAGTGTGGGTGGGTTATTGGTAACGCTCCCACATCGGGCCCGCCACACCCAGCGCAGCCGTACGGGCCCTGCTGCATCTGTCAATTAGTACCACTCATGTCGGGTACCACGCAGCCTGTGAGAACGGTTTTATTATGAACTCTGTGGTTTGGAGAGAACATGCTCTCGTCTGGGAAAATTATTCAAGTGGCCACCAGGATATGTTTTGGTGGGTTTGAAGAAAGCGTTTCATGCTTGGGGAGCAAAAGAAGACAATATCAAGTGGACAGACAACGATCAGATTCAAATAAGTTCTGCTTTTTTTCTTTATCATAATCCGTATTTCACGTGTTTGACGTCTAGTTGTGAGTCCACTGCTGTCGGTAGTTCTCTTTCCAGACCACACATCACCATCCGTTTCCACAACAATGAAACTAGAGGCTCGCCGTCATCATCACATCATCAGCGTGATTCTTAAAGAGCACCATTGGGTCTTCTCTTAGCAAAACAAAAGCGAATGGACGACTTCAAACAAGGCATTCAGCACGATCCCAGATGCTCGGTAGCATGCAAGTGTGCAGTTACAGCTTCTGTCCAATCAGCTCTCAGATCTCATAGCAGTGCTGGAGGTGTCACGCAGTGGATGAACGGATGAAGGGATTCATGTGCAAACTTCTGCATGTTTTCCGGGGATGCATCACAAGCAGTCGAATGGTCTGTTTCGCTTTGTATGCACACCATCCTTACATTCCAACAATACCCAAAACTTGAAGTGGGGTTTTCAAACGCATTGTGTACTGAAACGATCATCGGCTCAATACTTTCGATCTGTTTTGAAACAGGAAATGGAGAGGCGTTACAGGCTGTACCGGGCACAAGACTTCCCTCCGTTCCAAAACACAACCCAGATGTTTGTTTTTTTATTTTACTAATGCAATGTGGTGTTAAACATACAAATCAATTAGGATCAAATGCTTTGCACGAGTGAGGACGGAAGACGTAAGCTCGCTGAAGGAGGTTTTTATGTACAGCAGGAGCACTCACATGGGGGTTGGAACCCACAAACGTTTTAGTAATTCAGCCTTGTGCTCGGAAAAATTTCCATTCTACAAAACTACTTGTGAAAATCCAGTTCTGTCAACCAGTGGAAAGCATCTTGACAAACTGAACATCAGGACTTTGACTCGAGTGTGAAGCCAAACGTTGCTATCACTTAAAGCCAGTCACATCGGAGTGTTTGCAGGTTTCATCAGATTAAAGCAACAACAAAAAAAAACAGCTCGTTATCCTCAAACGGATAATTTACATCACAAGAAGACAGTAAAAAGACATGTTAATTCCATCATAAGGAGACAGTTGAAAGCTCAGCGCAGAACAGAGGAGAGACAGGAGAAGGGGGACGGGGAGGCAGATGTTGGAGGCAGCAGCAGGAGAACAAGATTGCAGTCCAGAGAGGGGGAGATGGAGAGAAGATGAAAGCGATAGAGTGGCATTTACTTTGTTGGGGCCCACCTTCAGATCTAGATACTCCAGGTCCTTCTTCAGTTGTATGTAAGTATCATCAGCCTTTAAATGAGCAGTGGAGAGATAAATCATTTGAAATGAAACTGCAAAGGATAATGGGTGACCAGATGACTCCTAAGGCCTTTATTTGCTGCTTAGGCTTTGCTAACAGAACTTTAATTAACTTGGTCTCAATTACAGTGTACTCCTACCTCTGTATTTTTATCTGCAGTTGGAAAAGCCAAACTCTAATTAAGTAATCGAGTCATTTTTGAACTGGTTTAATGTCTCCTGTTTGACCTCATGCACAACTGAGCAACACAGGTCTGATGCATGACATGTGGCCAAACGGAGTGTTTATGATTCTTCATAAGCATGGAGAATGGCCAGAGAATGGTTGGATGTTAGAAAACTGGGTGGAGTTGTCATTACTGTGCACCATTGCAGCTCGACTGCGGTCTGCTGGTCTTACAGCAATGCACTTTGTTCACAGGCTCACAGGGAAGACTGGCTGCCGACGGCGGCCTCAGAATGCTAACACCAAGAACAAAAGATTTATCAGAGCACACAGAAACGTAGATGCGTCGTACTGATCACACATTCTCTGTGCAGCTTCGCAGTGTTCTACATCTACAGAACAGACGATGGACAGTGTAAAATACAGGCACAGTCAACAAGCAACATGCTTCGAATGTGGCTTATTACTTCTTAAGACAAGACTCGTGTGGCTTTGTCAGGGTTTGGAAAGTTCAATGAGTGACACTAAAGACACTAATATACAGCTATAAGTACAGTACAGTCCATGCCAAAGATGGTTGAATAAACAAGACAACCAAGCAGTACCAACAGACTGCAGTCTGTCAGAATGACCAGGAAGTAATGTGTGGGTTTGGCTGGAGGGAGAGGGGGACCAAAATGCACTGGCAGGGGGATGCAGTGTGCTGCGTTAGGGAAGTATGAGGGTCCCTGACCTGCATGCTGGGGCCTAGAAGGCCGTTGTGCTGGTGGTTCTGCAGGTGAGCGAACGCACTGCTGGGGCTATGCACACCAGCCATCTTGGCCTGGTGCCTCCGTAGCTGAATGAGGAGCAGAGTCAGCTCCTCTGGCTGTAGCCAAGCCCGGGGTTTAGGGGCCAGGGGCCAGCGAAAGCACAGAGGGATGAGAGAAAATATTTGATAATCATCTGGGCAGTACAGTGGCTGAGCTACAGAAGCTGAGAGAGCCAAGTGTTAGAGAGGCCAGCATACTGCCGCGTCCACTAATGTCCCGATAATAACTGAAAATGTAAAAGCTAGAGCTGCACCGTGGAGATCGCTATGGGAGGATGACTTATTGTGCTAAACAGGGCTGGGTGGAGAGAAGGGTTATCACAGCTGATAACACTTATCAAACTAATATCACATGGTGTAAAAAATTAAACCAGCTTCATCCGTCAGCTCTAGATTCTACATACTGACACCGTCACCGAGGAGCCACATTAGTCAAATTTTGGTCTGAGTTTTGCCTGTTCCTACCTGGACTCGCCGTCCTAGGCTATCGTAACACAACGCTAACACCACACAACAGTACTGACATGGAGCTACGTGGTTGATGGAACAGAGCGGCGTACCGTTTTGCCGTGCAGGCTGGGAGCGCTGACGGTGTGCGTGATGTAGCCCATGGATGGCACAGATCGTCTCTCTATTTGGGAGGTCTGTGGAGAAAACCATCAGCTTGTTATTAGAGACCGTATAGAATCAAATCAAACAGAATGTGTAATTCACTAAGTAATCCTCAACAGTGTGCTGAAAGTGAGAGCCGGATCCCTCCATCACACCGAATCAAAGTTAAACCATTGCCTCCAAGTCTGCAAACAAATTTGACTACACAGCACATTTATTTTTTTTTCATCTATCCCTTTCTCCCTTTCATCACTCCTACTCTTCTTGGAAACAAGGTGTGCCCTGAGTTTCAGATGCTACGGGGCTCGGAGAATCTGACGTTTTTGCTTAACACACAGAATTAGCGAAAACCAGGCCCACTACAGAACCTTAAAAGGACACAAACAACAAGAGATTTAATTAACTACACATAAATTATACTAAACCTGCTTTCTTAAAATAACATTTGTTTGCTACCAGCAAGAGAAGCACTGTAAGCCATTCCCTTTGAGATTCCCATGCCACAATTTTTTTGCTGTATAATAGGTTTTTTATTTAAATGCAAGATCAGAAGAAAGAGACCGCTGCTGATGTTTGAGATACAGTAGAGATGTTTATAGGGTGCTGAGGAGCCCTGGGCAAATTGGATTAGCTGCTAATAAAACATACTTCTTAATGATATTCCACAGAGGCATGCACATCGCTATTACTTAAGCGCGCTCCAGCCAGAGAGCACCATCGGCCTCAAAGATGCTGGGTGCACCAAAACTAAGTTCAGTGCCGACTAAATTTAGTTCCCATAAACACGGCTTCCTCGTACACTCGCTGTGGCTGCCTTTGTTAAGAAGGCCTCCTCCTCTGAAGCCGTTTCCATAATTGTGCGTCACCGTATTTTATGGCTGTAATTAGTGTCTTGACACTTGGGTGAATGATGGAGGAAACAGAGCATCTGCAACACTTTGTTTACTTGTGTAAGGCCAACGGGTCGGCTCGTGAGGCTTGTGTGTGTTGGCAAATGTGGTGATGGTTTGGAGGCGGATCGTTTCACATGTGGAGGGTGTGGTGGGGCGACGGCGCAGGGTGTGGATGACACGACGTCCCCTCGCTCCGGCTCCTGCGGCGGTGGCGGTGCTGTCTGAGCGCTGCGACGGTTTCGGGGAACAGTTTTTCCCGCTCACACACGCTCGCGCCACCTGTGGGGCGCGCTTTGGGCGTGGACTGTGTGAATCTGCGAGTGATTCACATGAGCATCAAAGTGTGGGCGCTGAAACGCCGGAGCCTTCTCAGGCTCCTCCTGCTCATCTTCCCATGGTGTTCATGTGAGCTCACAACATCCCGCAAGTTGACATCAATGGATACCTCGCGTCCGCTATCCACAGCTACCGTGAGAATGAGACCTTTGTTATTTGGCTTCATCAACTTTTACTACTTTCACTGCCAATGACAGGCTGCTGGTGTTCACAGCGCACTCGTATCATAGTGTTTATCCCCGCTGACGGAGGACTTCCCTCTATCCATCCGACACTATGGACAGGTCTGACAGCAGGCGGCCTGCGGGTGTGACGCCACGGTGGGAACAAACCCGGTGCCCCTTACAAACCAACACGGCACTGTTCCCAACATCCAACACACACTGAAGAGATTATTTATAGTTGTGAGGACGCAGCTAACAATTACTGACATTATCAGTTCGACTGTCTTGATTTAGCACCAAGTTTTTTCAACTATAGAAAGATTTTCTCAGAGATTTTTAGTGTAACAACAAAGGAAAGAAAGATTTAATGATTACCCAAATAATTTCAGATTTTTTTTTCTGTTGATCAATTAATCAATTAATCAACTATGGCAGAGCTTCAACACCTGAAGCCTTCAGCATTTATTGGTGATCCTGAGCATCACTACTGACCTGACAAATGACCATCAGTAATAAAATAAGCCTTAGATAGTTTTACAGTGTCTGTCCTGCGTCCATCCTAATGAATGACACGTGATAATTAAATGCTCATCTATTCAACAGGAAACCTGCTGGTTTTAGTCTTCTTGTGGTATTTTGCTGACACCGATAAGCCCAGAATGATCTTTTATCGCTCTTTTAAAGATGACTTAAGATGAAGTGAATCAGTACACCGAGATTTGCATTTTTTGTTTTATGATATAATGACTCAGACTTCATTTACATCTGAAGGTTATATACAATATTAATGGATTCATATAAAATTAATTAATATTATTCATTGAATGCAAAATTCCTCTGCGATCATACTGAACGGCATTCGAGCACTTTGAATGTGAGTATTTACATTTAACACTAACTGGGTGTGACCCAGTGACGCTGTTTTATATCTTATACCACGATGGTAATCAGAGATTGTTTGGAGAAGACAAAAGACAGCAAAGGAATCCCTAAAAACGTCAGCGGTGCCTCTCTTCCTCCAGGAGGTGACCTACCTGAGAGAGGTGGGCACAGATGTGGCCGGGGGAGCTCGACCTTGTGCTGTCCCCCGCCGCCACCTCGTCCAGGGGCCGGACTGTGCGTCTGTCTGAAGGGGTGTGTGGCCTGCGTGGGGACAGGGGTTTGAAGGAGGACGGGACTGATGGCGGGACTTCACACGGCGATGGAGGGACGGAGATGGAGCGCGGCATCTCCACGGTGACTCTGAAGGACGAGGAGTCTGTGAAGTTGGGGCCGGTGTAGATGGGGGCGGTGGGGCTGCCGTGACGGAACTGCTGCCGCTGCTGCCACTCGTAGAGCTGCCACACCATCCCCTCCTTGGTGGCCATTCGCTCGTCCGTGGACATACGGAAGTGGCTGAGTCGGTCGTGGGCGTACTTGTAGTCACTGGGAAGGTTGCACGTTGCTGGAGGGGAGCTGCTGCCGGACGGGAGACGGGGCGACTTTGGCAATGATTGATAGGTGACATCTGCTGTGCTGGCTTTGGGTTTTAAAGGAGGAGTCCGCCGAGGCAGGTTGTACTCTGCAGAGGGAGCACTGAGGCAGAAAGACACGTACAAGTGTTTAATTATCATGTAAAGTTCTCTGGTTACTATAAAAAGATCTTTCTCCACATTAAGAAAAAAAAAGAAAATGTACAATTCCAATATGCAGTTTCTCATGTTAGCCACTAGAGGGAGGCATTTACCAACGGTTTCTGTTACAGACACACTGGCTGATTCTAACTGAGGGAAGTCAAACTAACCTTTTCGAGGGATCTCCTTTCTGAACCTTGACCCAGTGCTCCACCTGAGCCAGCGTGTTCTTCCTCTGCATGTGCACGTGTTTCTCAGTGTCCGTCCGTGAAACAAAACTCCTCTGATAGACAAGATTTCCATTTTGTTCTGGCGGTAGAGCCACTTGGATCACAGCCGGCTGTCCGTTCTTGTGGGCGGCACCGTTGACGGAGTCTGGAGACAGTCTCTCCACTCGATCCACTGGGGCCGACTGGCTGGCCTTCCCCTGGATCTCTAATCCATACCTCAGCTCTTCTCCGTGAGCCAGTCTGACGCCATTGTCCTGAGGTTCGTCCCGGTCCGTCCTGTGAAGGATTTCTGACCGAGATGAGTTCTGGTTGATGTGGACGTGGTTGCTCTGTGGGACTGCCTGCTGTGCACCCTTATCTGGCTTCTCTAGCTCTCTGTGAAGAAACGAGACGATTATATTAAAAGAAAATTTAAATTAAGTAAATGGCTTCATACAGCCGATCCTAAAGCACAGAGAGAGAACGCACCGACCCGGTAAATCTTACAAGTATTACACACTTGAACAGTAATTTAACTATCATCTCATTCCAACTCTTCACCGAGTGCTATGATGAAGTGCAGCGCTGTTCTTAAAACAAGAGGATTACGGAGCAGTCAGCAGGAGGATGGAGAACACAGCGGACACTCCAATTAACCTTAAGTAAAGCTAAACGTAATTTCCCAATCCATTTGTGAAGACACGTCTACATATGGTCCGATTCATTACCGAGTTTCTCTGAGAACAAATCAAGACCAGAGGGAGTCATTCATTAAATTTCCATCCACACCTTTTTATATCTTTTATAAGGAGAGCAGAGATCTTGCTGGAGAATTCATGCAGAGCAAATCCGCAAGGAAAGGAAATGACAGTCACTTTATCATCATAAAGTAGGCTGGGGTAGAGTCTTAATATGTTTAAATGATAGGACCTCCACTCCATGGTGTTAGATTTAAATTAATTTATCCTCACGCCACTCACGGGAACACGTCTTCCATTTCTATTATTTACAGTTTCACAAACTTTACATGAATGAGTTCCTAAAAGATACGACATGATTTTAGCTGATTGCAGTTCAGTGATCACCCCACACGTACCTGCCCTCTACCACTTAGTGAAAAACGCACTCTTCTCATGTTATTAGTGCAAAGTCTTTAACATCATTCACGCTTCCTTTCAAGGAAAAATACGACGACCATGCGTGGGACACTGAATGCTTTCCCATAATAACATTTTCAGGAGCACTGCCTTGCTCTGGTCACTGGGTGGCGCTATTGCGTCGACTATTTATAGCACGTAGCGCCGCCAGCTAATCCGAGTAATGCATTTAGAGTGTCAGACAATACTGGAGACTATTTCTGCCACAAATTTGGCTTTTTATTTTATTATTTTAATTATTTTAAAAATAAATAATAATAATAATGTATGCACACTACTGTTGCCTCACAGCTAGAAGGTCGCCGGTTCACGTCCCGGTGAGGACACCCGGGATCTTCCTGCGTGGAGTCTCCATGTTCTCCCCGTGCAGCGTGGGTTCTCTCCGGGTTCTCCGGCTTCCTCCCACAGTCCAGAAACATGCTGAGGTTAATTGGTGATTGTAAATTGTCTGTAGGTGTGAATGTGAGTGTGCTTGGTTGTCTGTCTCTAAGTGTAGCCCTGTGATAGACTGGTTACCTGTCCAGGTGAACCTGCCTTCACCCTGAGTCAGCTGGGATAGGCTCCGCCCCCCTAGTGAGGATTAAGTGGTGGATAGATGATGGATGGATGCACACTAGCCTACATGACTTTGTGTTTACTGCTTTGATCTCAATCAGCTACTGGGTGCAATAAAGTACATTTAAAACATCACAGATGGAGATGAAACCGACACACACGAAAAACTGCAGATTGAGCCGCAGAACAGGACGAAAGAGCCGGACCTGCTGTTGTTAAAATAAAGCCCATAAGGCCAGAAAAACAAGTCATTTTCATTAATGAGACATATCTAGACACTTGAGGAGTTCCCGTTCAGCACTGCCGTCCTGAAGACGTGATGTTCTGGCAAAACAGATGATTAATAAATGATATTTGACTGTGACGCCCAGGTTCCCTTCATGATACACCCTCAGGACTTATCTAGCTCCCAGAGATGCTGCGCTTTACGCAAGGCGGTGGTACTAACAGCGGCACAGGCCCAGCCAATTGGAGAAGAGAATCCTACACTATAGAGCGAGACCAACCTCTTTATAGTGTGACTCTGCTGCATCAGCGCAGCCTGGTTCATGGCCCGGATCCAGCCATTCATGTCCTCCTGCGTGTCCGCACTGAAGAAATATGTCCGCATCCCGCAGTGTTCTGCCTGCGAGCCAATCACAGAGTTCTTATTGTAAATGTAGGAGCGCATTCCTGTATGGCTTGCCTATAAAAGAGAGGGAGATGGAGAGGCAGAGGGAGGATATGAGAGGGCTTCTCACTGAAGGTGGTTGACAAGTGAAAAACTTCTTGTTCACTGACAGCCGTCAACTCAGAGAAGTCTACGGCAACATTTTACTGAAAGACAGAAAACGAACGGGGAGAGAGCAAAGTGCTGCAGCAGAAACAACGCGATCATTTTGTTGTTTCTGGCAGGAGGGGGGGGAACAAAAAGCACAACACAAGTTATATTTTCCCACTGCTTCTCAAAAAGGCAATTGCAATCCCTTTAGCGCACAGAAATTAGATGGCAGCTGCAGCAAACCACCGCACAGTAGCAAAGAAAATGCAATTATGGGCTCCTTTCAGCGCTTTGGTCCAGATGCACACACTCGTAGCCACACATCATAAATATTAGCTTTCCTTCTCAAACTTCTATGCGCTGCTGTGAGTCTGTTCTAATAGTCTGACTGTACAGTGGGACCACAAATCCCTCCAAATATCTCCAAACCCCACCCAGAAAACCGACAGTAAACCACAGTGAAGACACATTCAGCTGCTTTTTTGCATCGTTTCAAAGCTGCTGACTATTTTATCTCAGGTTGTGTTCACCCACATATAACCTCAGTTATCCCTGCTTGTATTCTAATGAATATAGGTTCATTTTAAATCTGCTAAATATGTTTTACTGATGCAGTAAAACGGTACAAAGGTTCAACATGTGAGAAGCCAAACACTGCAAAGCAAAATTAATATTTCCTGCCTTAGAACACACATAGAGAGGAATGTTAAGAGTTAATATTGTATGTTTTATCGTAAAACAAAGTAAAACTAATGCATGTACAGCAGGTATTAATGGCGATGTACATCCAATGAAAAGCAATGCAGTTATGAGCCGGTGTGGAAAAAATGGGCGAGACGCTGCCATCGCTCCTCTCCGATGAGGATGATGATGATGATGATGATGGTTGACAGGACAAATGCCAGAGCCACCGGGTCTGTAGTACATGTGTTGAAAGTGAGCCACTAGAAAAATGAGTTTACCAATTAGAAATCCCAATTTCTCTTTTTCACACCCTGTAGTCCACCTAATTACCAAACTGTATAATTGGCTTTGAAATGTTTTTTTCAGTGCTGCCACATTGAACCACAGTGTGCTGTAGATACTGTCGGCCTGCTGTCTCACACTGTCCAACCACTGGGGCACTACATTAAGACCTATGAGTCCTGTGCTGAATGTGCAGTTCTCTGCATCCAGTTTGCTCACATCGGGTGCCAAAACAAATGAGTTTACTGCCCAAATACATACAGGGAGCTCAGGCAAATCATTTATTAGAGCTGCTGGCATTCATACGTGCTCTGGCATTGTCCAAAGCTGTGGTCATGGCTGCTCATGGTGACACTGTGATGCACATTTATAAATGTGCATTCAGCAGCTATGAGACAGAATGAGGTGAGAATGGGGCTCCACTGATGAGGCTGAAGTCAAATCAAATACCTATTCATGCAAGAGACAGGAAGCCTGTGTGATTCAGGACAGCCGCCCGCAGAGAACAGTACTCACTCCGCCCGCGCAAACACACCGGGTCACAATGGGAGGCAATTGACCAACAGGGAATGAGAGAAACACAGTGAGATGAGCAAAAGTAAGAGAACAGAAAACAACAGGAAGTTACAGCTGATCAGTGCTGATTCAGAACGAAACAACAGAAGTGGCTCCAGCTGTGGTCTTCTGGCAGTCAATGTGAGAATGACTGAAAGCCTCTGAGCGGTTTCGACGCGTCCTCGTGGAGTCGCTGCACAAAGCGTGAAAGCACGACGCCGACTTATGCAACCTTGTTTTCCCGTCTTCATTCAAATATTTATTTAAACGTTTTATTCTCACTAACTCTATTATTTCCACTCGAGTTTATCAGACGAAGACAAACTAGTTTGCTGTACATGTCAGCTCCTCTACCGGTCTGGAACATCCCTTTGTTAAACAGCACCATCCACTGAGCTGTTGTCATGCTTACTTAGCAGTAACTAAAGTCTTCCAGAGCACCTCAGGTACACGTGCTCTTTAATGCATGATGAGTCAGTGAGAGCTGTGGAGGTGGTGGAGGGGGGATCCCTTAAATACAGGGTGGTACAGCGGCGCTCATCGTCCCTGACAAGCAGAGGGAGGAGACAGACAATAGGCTGAATGTATAATTAATATTCCAAGCAGCCCAATTATCATACAAATTCCATTGTATGAAATATGATCGTTAAAGCGCAGGAGATGCGTCACGCGCCAGCCCACACATTCGCATTCACGCTGGCGTGCACTCACACTCATTTACACACAGAATCCAAGAACAAAATCCCAAGTACAAAGGAGCGGAAAGGATTGCAACAGAATGCCCTGAAGCTGCAGCGGTGCATCAAACGTTCAGGCGCTATTGTTCTTTACAACCAGCTCTGTGTTTCCACAAAGGAGGAGTTGGATAATGTTAACACACGAGGGACGTAAATCCCTTTGCTGTCCTCTGGCAGAATACACAACAGTGAAAGAAAGAAAGAAAATAGACTTTGCTGCATGCAAGGAAAAGCTCTGGCATGAACATTTAAGTAAAAAATTACACAATTACCAAATGTGGGGTTGTTTAAAGTATTGTTCCATTTAAATGTCAGCGACAGAACAACGCACATCGTACGTAGTGCTGCACCGCTGCAGCCACAGTTACAGTTTTTGCTCCGCTTCCCTTCGTAATAGGTGAATAAAATCAAACCGTGCATAATGGAAGTCTGCTATGCTAATCTGATCAGATCATCTGCTTTAGGTAGCGTGACCAGAGTACATAAATAGCGCCGCTGGAGCCATCGACTATGGGATGTGTGTTATAAGGGGTCAGAGAGGAGGAGGTCAAAAGTTTCACCAGATTCTGCAAAACTGGACGTCAGACAGACGTCGTCCTGGAATTCAGCAGCTGGGATGCATGCAAAATATGTCTAGTGAAAATATATGAACAAAAGTTGTAATTAAGTCCAGGTTTAGCCCTTCAGCAGCACTAAATGATTCCTGTTTGGTCCCAATAATGAATGAAAATAATCCACCTTCATCACTAGACCAGTGTGCCATGTTGAAAAAATTCAAAGTTATAATGAACTTATAGCAATAAATAATAGGATGAGAGCAGGTTTTGCAAGCTGCACATGTACAGTACATGACAGCTTCTTCTAGATCGGATTCAGGGTCACACAAAGGTCCACCAGCCTTTGCACAGCTGGACCTCAGACAGATGTTGTCATGGAACCCAACAGCTGAGATGGACGCAAAATATTTCTGGTGCAAAAACACGACCACACGTAGGAGTCAGGGCTCGGCATAGTTTCTGTTTCTTTAGGTAGCAGTGCTACCCGAGAGAGAAGGAGGCGGTACAAAGGTAAACAAAGGAGGAGGAAGAGAGCCGGGATCCATGCTAGGCTAAAAGCTAACCCCTCCAGACCAGCAGGATCCATGCTAAGCTAAAGGCTAACCCCTCCAGACCAGCAGGATCCATGCTAAGCTAAAGGCTAACCCCTCCAGACCAGCAGGATCCATGCTAAGCTAAAGGCTAACCCCACCAGACCAGCAGGATCCATGCTAAGCTAAAGGCTAACCCCTCCAGACCAGCAGGACCGTCCTCCTGCTCTCCAATGTCCGCTCCCTCCACAACCAGCAGGACGTTTGCTGGGATAAACCTCAGAGAGTGGAGGGACTGCTGTGTGTCTGCTTTAACAGGAACATGGCTCCATGACAGCATCCCAGACGGACAGACAGCTGGAGGGGATGCAGACAGACAGACAGACAGCTCTGAACTTCTCCAGCAGGACCCTGAACATTGTCAGGGACTCCTCCACCCTCTCCATCAACCGTCTGAACTGCCTCCATCAGCCAAACGTTTCTGGAGCGTTACAGGAAGAACCTCCAGACTGACCAACAGCTTCATGCCTCCAGCTGTCAGAACGCTGAGCTGCTGATCCAGAGATGCAAACACTATTTAACTGCTTTTAGTTTTTGGATCCTGGAGAAACCCTCTCTCATCCTGTTTGTACTGCTGTTGTATGTGCAGCAACATGACAATTAACCTGCATTGATTTGATTTAAATAGTTCTTAAAAACAATATTTCTCTCCCTGTGTCTTTCCATGAAACCATTTCTGACCAAGTTCAAGAAGATAACCCACTTTCACCACCAGATATGTGCCATGTTGTCTGTTACACAAGAAGCTGTTACAACAAAGCTGCAGCAGTAAACAATCTTGAGGAGGAGAGCTGCTACACATGCACAGCACACGATGGCTTCTTCTAGACCTGACTCGGTGTCACTTCGGTGTTACCTTGAAAGCATATTTGCGGTTGATGTGGTCATCGGGCTCCACCGGTGCGATGACATAACTGGGCAGAGGGATGCTGCCGAGCACCGTTTCCTCTCGGCTGTCTGCGAAGCAAAAACACACACACACACACACACACACACACACACACACACACACCGAATATTGTTACGGGAATTCAAAACAGCACGTAATTCTGCCAAGTTCTTTTACGATGTTTACGAGTGACTTCCGATTTACGAGCAGCGGGGAAATTAGCGAGGCATTAATTCATGGGTGACTCTTGTGTCTACGAGGCCATGTGGCAGCATGTGGCGCGACGTGGCATGTGGCTTATCTATTATTCAGCATGATTAATGGAGGAGAGGAGTTAGCTGTTATGGCAACACAAGCAGAGATTACATCCCATAATATTAAAAAAAAAGTCAAGTTAATCAGGACGGAGAAGTTGGAAGGAAGAGAAAGCCGGGGAGAGTAAGATATGTCATACGACTAATTACAGTGTGTCGTTAATCAAGCTGACAGCAGAGGAGATGGCTGAGGGTCTGCGGGTCTAATTTCAGTCCGGTTCGCCTTCTCGTCTAACAAACCCTGACCGAGTGCACTTCTCACAGACTCACCTTTGTAGTAAAACAAGCAGTAGTCTGATAAAACAAACCACTTCCGTTTCCACAGCCGCATTCCAGAGCTGTCCTGGAGGTGAAGGAGGAAACGCAGCACACAGTGTTTAGAGATTCTCCTCACAGGAACACACTTTCATTCACATTTTTAATTAAAAAGAGCAGTTTGGGAGCAGCGTGCTCGTTAACGGTGACCGGGGGGAGGCTCTGTGCATAACATTAGAACAATAATTGAACTTTTTTTTTTTTTTCATGCAGCATTTGGTACAAAACTGCAACCTCTAGGTTTAACTGGGGACTGCAGCTTTTTGTGTCTTTTTCATCCGATTGTGTGATTAAAGAGGTTTCGTAAAGGCAATCTGAGGAACCATAACGAACCACTGATAGCAGCAAAACCCTCATAACTGTGTAAAGGACTGCGACTGATCCTCCACAGATTTTGACATGTGCTGTCTTTTTAACATGTGACTGGTCTTGTTTTGGGCTCACAGTAGGAACCTGAGCTCACCTGTTTATAGAGCCAGCCCCTCACCACCACTGGGATGTTGAGGTTTCTTTTAATAGCCTGATCCCTCTTGCCAAAACTGTGCACTTTCCCCGAACCTCTGGAGCCCTGCAGGAACCAAAAAAAAAAAAAAAAAAGAAACCCAAACAATTAATTGTACGGTAGCTTGGCTGAAGAAGTGTAAGCCCATTTATTCTGCTTATATGAGGATAATATTGTGCTCACGATGGCATCGCCCTCCACGGTGCAAAGAAAACAACTTAGAAAGAAAATACAGGGAGGCTTTTTAAAATAGTATAAAGGCTTTCTTTCCTGGAACCTCCTCCTCTCAACATCCTTAACGAGAAGAGGAAATACCAACTGGCTATTCCTGTGGACGCATGTAGTCACTTATAATTAGACAAGGTCAGTGCCTTTCTCAGGTGCTTTTCGACAGAAATATGTGGAGTTGTGGGGGAGAGCACTTGGTTAAAAGAAGGCAAAAATGTGGAGGGACCAAATAAGGACAACTTTATGCAGAGAATCGTTGTGTATAAATATATTAAATCATGTGTGAAGTAGAGTCCTTAAGGTTTAAAATATAAAAGAAGTTATGTGGCACAATCGATAATAAAAAAAAACCCACTAAAGGTACCAAAAGATAACAAGCTGAATAAGCAATAAGTGTTTTTAAAGATACCAGAAAGTAAAACATTCACATCCCTCAGAGGAGTAAGTGTCTCTGACATCAAGTTGCTTTGCAGTTTATTCCTGCTGGAAACCAGTTGGTAACTGGACGGTAAAAAAAAGTGTTAACGCCCAGGTTAGTATGAGCTCCATCACTGCCTTGTGTTTCTGTGTCCCACCAGACACCAGACACAACGTCCAGCTCCATACGATGTTATCACACGTTAACAATGACGAGCTCAGCTGGTCGAGTGGGCGACCCATGATCAGGGGCTGTAGTCCCCGACGCCGAGGTCGTGGGTTCGAGTCCGGCCCGTGACCATTTACTGCAGGTCCTTCCCCCACTCTTCTCCTCATATTTCCTGTCTCTCTCCACTTTCAACTATAACAAAGGCTAAAAAAAAATACTAAATGATCTACAGATATAAACAGGAGCTGAATGAGGTAATGTATTCTAGGACTGATCGAACCAGTTCATCAACACGAGCTTCAGGAGAGTGAAGTCACTAAAGAAATACTTAATTAGTTAAATGTGAAATTAGACAACCTGATTTATTACTCTGTCTTAGAATGGATGATGTTTTGAGCACAACTTGAGATTTTTCAGACCCTGCAGTAAAACTGAAGACACACGAGTGAAACATCCTCCACAAAAGAAACTGGATTCTCACTAAAAAGAAAAACTCTGACGCTCACCTTTGACCCTGAGGTGACGTCCACTGCTGCTGTGGTCACAGCCTTGGAGGAGTCTGTGACCATGCCGGGAGATCTCTGATTGGCCGCTGACTTGGACATACGGGATTCTAGCCTACAGGTGAGGAGGACACAAAGAAGATCAGTAACACAGACGGGATGAGAAGCACTGAGGAGTGATGTTCCCTCTCAGCTCGTCCTGACAGGCTCCAGACACGCAGTGGAACAGCGCAGTGGTGCTGAGCTTTCACATATAAAGGATATGACTATTTCCTGACACCAGCGTGAGAACTGTCACAGCCAATGGCTCGGGAGTGGATGCACTAACAGCGACAACAACAGCGATCCAGCAGGACCTGGACTGACACTCACCCCGGGACACACATCTCTACACACACACACACACACGGATCACACACACACACGCACACACACGGATCACACACGCACACACACACACACACATACATATCTACACACACACTCTCTCTCTCTTTTTGGAAAGCCAAGGAGGAAGCCACATCCCACCTCACATTTCCTCATCACATCATCACATTGGTATGGATCCAGAAGAGTCAACATGGAAGAAATACATCACAGGCCATTTCAGGTTCAGTGGCAAGCTGGTGTCAAATAACAACAGTTTGTGTTGCAGACGAGGCCGTTAGAAAGACTTTAACGGGTTCTTTTGAGCCTCAGCCAACCGTAACCGGCACGGATCTATCGCTGAACAACAACACCAAGTGTTTGGCCTCAACGGCAGATCTAACAAAGAAATATGGGGACATAAAGAAGAAAACCTCGTGCTGCGATTGCATTGTTATGGACGTGACAGATGGGAAGCTGTGCGATGCATGTGTAAAGAGGTCTGCTGTGTGTTGACATGTATCGCACGCTATGCCTGAACCCTCTAGCTACACTTTGAGGGAAAAATTCATGATTTATGAGCAAATACATTGATTATGTGAAGACAGTGATATTAATATTTTTACAGTAATGGGATGTTTTCTGGGCTGCAGGTGTCTCAGTGGTTAGCTAGAAGGTCACCGGTTCGCGTCCCGGTGAGGACACCCGGGATCTTTCTGCGTGGAGTCTCCATGTTCTCCCCGTGCAGCGTGGGTTCTCTCCGGGTTCTCCAGCTTCCTCCCACAGTCCAAAAACATGCTGAGGTTAATTGGTGATTGTAAATTGTCCGTAGGTGTGAATGTGAGTGTGCTTGGTTGTCTGTCTCTAAGTGTAGCCCTGTGATAGACTGGTTACCTGTCCAGGTGAACCTGCCTTCACCCTGAGCCAGCTGGGATAGGCTCCGCCCCCCTAGTGAGGATTAAGCGGTGTATAGATAATAGATGGATGGGATGCTTTTCTTTATAAGTGAGGGTTTTAAAAGTCAGAATCATTGTTGGTACCATTACCTTAAAGTCTCATAGTGATGTACTGTGGTGTCTCTTAAACATAAGGCTCCTCCTGTATTTTCTGCCCCGGTGCTTCACCTCCCTGCTGCGTCATGAACATATTAGCATATCTCTCCTGTTACCTGCTGTGCTTTATTTAGCTGTGACTGATGATTTTAGAACAACTACCTGAGGAGAGAAAATGAGAAATCGTGTCAAAGTACAACTTACAACCACAGGCCAGCAGCACCGTACCACTGGTCATCTGTGTGATGCCTCATGCGTATACGTTCAGCAGCTACAAAACAATGAAAGGAACAAAGCGACAGGCCGGTGGAATGCTGACCGTCCACCAGCCTCCACATCAGGCCACTTACAGCCACCAACTGGTGATAATTATTGCCTCTTTACCAGATGTTACATCATGCCGTCCTTTTCAAAGACTTGCATCACGTCTTTTAAACACAAAACTTGTTTAATGTGGGCAGAGTTTGAACTAAAGTGTAGAACAATGTGACAGTAAGGCAGCCTAATGGTTACAGATGCAGTAATAACCACCGACACACTCCCACAGCTCGACGCCACCGGATCTCAAGAATAATGTGCATAAACAAATTCAGCTGTAGTGGATGTAATTTACAGAAAATATGAATATGACAGCAAACATAAGAAATGTGGGCCGGTTAATGATACTGGAAATTCATGTTTTTAAGTGGGTAACTTGAGGCAGCAGTTCTTCCCGTATATTGACTCCTACAAGTTGAACTTTTGTTTTTTTTTACAGGCTGCTGCATTTCTGGATTCGTGCCATGTACTCAGAAGGAGACGCATCCAAGATACTGGGAGAACTGGGAAGAGGTTTCTTAGGAGTGCTGTTCCAACATAAAGTGAAGCTGTTCCAGGTACTCCAGAGGAACGTCCTGCTCCTGGTCCTGACCCCGATGGAGCAACCAGCGCTGTGGTGGGGCTCTCAGGTAGATGATGGCATCGAGAGTGATGTCCAGTTCAAACTGGTTCAGTAACCAGGTGTGCCAGTCCTCATAAACACTGAACTCCGTTTCTGTCAGGTTCCCGCATTCAAACAGGTCGGATGCAAACATGTACCTGTCGGAGTCGACGGAGCGTTCGTAGAACTGAACTGGGTTCTCCGCCTGCTGAAGTTTGACTGAAGGAGACTGAAGCGGATCTCCTGCTGTGCTGGTACGTCAAATCCTGGACCACTGGAGTCCCTGTCATAGCTCTCAGACCATTCATGACAGTGATTACTTGGTTGCACAACTAACACAACTATCTGCTGTAGTAGTTTGGGGGAACAAAGGGAGATTTTAGCGAAGAAGGGGGACAACAAGTCAGCGACAGTGGACATAAGGTGTGCCAGCTGCAGGGGTCAATATTCACTTCCAATACGTGTTTAAGTCAGTGCTCAGCATCACACGTTGTCTGTTTTATCCTGAGTTGTCTGAAGATCCTCAGTCATCCAGGTCATGGTTGTTCTAATCGTAACAACTGGATCTGCGTGAGTTCCTTGAAGACGTTCCACCTTCATCCAGGAGGCTTCATCAGCTCTGACTGACTGGTTGGGAGTTCCTCATACTGATATCCTAAAGAAGACATTAACACCTGAGTTTAGGTTTTAATTGGGGGTTTGTTGCTCCTCCCCCTCGTTATGTGAGTCGTTAGTGCTCCTCCTGCCACAGTGGGGTTCGTTAGGGTCTCTGTGGCTCGGTGTGGATGTGGGTTCATCTTTCTGGGGAGAGATCTTAGGACTGAACTGTAAACAGGTGAGAGGTGATGCCTCAGACCTCCACCTCCTCTCTCAAACCATCTGTCCTCCCTGCAGCCCAACATCTGGACGTTGTTGTCTTCAGATGAGCGTCCTTTGTCCTGAAGATGCAGGTGGATGCTGAGTCCTGTCCTGAGCTGCAGCAGCATGACTTGCAATGCTGATCGAACCTACTCTATCATTCATATCCACTCTCGCAGGCTTTGGAAAATTCCATACATCACTTGTGAGGACAGCATGAGGCGGGGCAGCCTCTGCAACGCTCTCAGCTGCTCAAAGGCTACAACGTTCAGAACCTGATCTTACATGAGGACACACTGTGTGACCCGACAACGCTGACACAAGCCTCCAGCGTCCACAGAGAGGTTAAAACTAACGCTGTTGTTTTTTCCCACTTTGTGTGCCGCATTGCACTTAATCTGGGGGAAAGTTAGATAAGGTATGTCAGAGTCTCAGGCAAAAAGTACCGGCAGAACAAAAGGGGGGGAGAAAAAGTGAGGCCACACTGGAACAAAACCTACAGTATCTGCACTCACAGCTTGGACTGCAGCCAGCGTTTTTACAGGATGTTTCTGCCGTATCAAGGAGGCTCTGCTGTTTTATGTGAAGCTTTCACACTGTTTACCGCCACTGTCACTGGAACAGTTCCCCGGGAGATTTGTCGTGGCATGTGGATGATATTTCACATTGTGTGGAGCAGAAGAGGGAAAGTCACTCAGCTGCGTCGCTTCTCTTTCTGTGATGGTAATGAAGGCGTATTGGACATTTTTAAGTCCTTTTAGGGGCTGCGTGTGCACGAGGGCAGTTAATGAATCGATCAGAGTCCAATAATCTATAGTCACATGCTGATCGACCTCTCTGTGGAGGGAGGGCCTCCTCGAGCGCCTCTCCCTGTTCTGTCCTCAATCCGATGCAAACCTCCGGGGAAGACACCGAGTTTCTTTTCACTCTGAAGTGAGTCAGTGATTTGTGGAAGCAACCCACTTTCTATTCAGACATCGTTATACGCAGAATGAATCCCACAACAACACAGAACTGCAATGTTATGTAGTCACGGGAAGGTCAAGCCGGCATCGCAAACACAAAACTGCACTCCAGCTGTCGCACATTACACCCAAGTCTACAACAGAATTTTAACAAGGAGGGTGGAAAAGAACAGGTGCAAGAAAATGCAGACAAAGTAAATAGAATTAGGTCTGGAGGAGAAGCAGAGTCGCCTTAAAGGGAACATGAGGAGTTTACATGTTGGTGCGTTGCAGGGCAGCTTGTACAAACAGGAAGACTGTGTTACACACTGTGAGCCTGGACAGCATTTAACAGGTACAGACGGTCTAATGCAGCGGCTCTCAAACTGGGGGTCGGGACCCCCATGGGGGACCCAAGATAATTTCAGGGGGTCACTGAGCTAAACTACTACAATCTACAAACAGAATTCATCGTCAGAAACATGCAGCTTGGAGATTAAAAACTGAATACAGGTAAAGTGACACAGGGTCTCTGAAGCCCAAAACCTGCTGTCTTCAAAAAATAACCAAAATCACACTTTTTAAAATCAGACCCAGAAACTAGAAAAACAGAGAATCTTCAGTTTTTGCACTTTCCAACCAGCCTTGAACTAATCGTCTGAGACGTAGACCAACAGTCCCATCACAAAATCTACACAGAGCAGGTCAGAAACAAGTATGAAAGCAGAATAAAAATGTTGTGATTTATGGCAATATACCTTTTTGGTGTTTCCATAGAGGTGCAGGACTTTATGTTGAAGTGAGAAATTATGGGTGAAAATGTGACAGGAAAAAAAAAAAAAAGCCACAAATCACTAAAAATTAAACTGTATCGTCTTGCAACTATTTCTTACTTTTAGTAGGGATGCTCGATATATCGGCGACCACATCAGTATCGGCTGATTTCCCCATATATCGGTATCGGTCCGATGAACTAATTTAGCCGATGATTGTCTAACATCAGCGCCTTCGTCTCTACGTTTGATATCACTGCTGTTTCACAGATGTTTTTACCTAAATGGTCCTGGACTAGAACGTTAAATATGTTTAAATATGTTTTGTTACGTGATAAAGCAGACTATGTGGTCTAATGTGGGCTTCTTCTGAATAGTTTTCTCACAGTGCGTACTTATAACCATTATTCGATGCAAACAAAAATTGAATATCGACATCTGTGATATCGGTTATCGGCCATATCAGAAATCTTAATATCGGTATCGGCCAGAAATTGTAATATCGTGCATCACTAATGTTTAGGTTTGAGTCTAGGGTATATGATCTTATTTACACTTCAAAACAAATCAGTCAGACTACACTTGTGAAACCGAATGAACGTAGCTGAGTTGATAAATAGAAAATGCAACTCAACAGTTAACACAGTGTGC